GTAGTAGTAGTAGTAGTAGTAGTAGTAGTAGTAGTAGTAGTAGTAGTAGTAGTAGTAGTAGTAGTAGTAGTAGTAGTAGATAGTAGTAGTAGTAGTAGTAGTAGTAGTAGTAGTAGTAGTAGTAGTAGTAGTAGTAGTAGTAGTAGTAGTAGTAGTAGTAGTGTAGGTCTGGGCGTTCGTGAGGGGCTCCTGCAATTTGGGCGCCTGGGAAGTCTCCACAATCTAGGCCCGAACGTGCCCGTCACACACCCCTGGTCAACTCCCCCGCGGGAGATCCAAACGCCATCCCTGTACATCGCGGTGCCTTGAGGCTCTGAAAGGAAGCACGTTCATCCTGCCAACGCAGCCATTCGACTTGAGAGGCCCCCACAATCTGGGCGCAAACGGGCCAGCGATACATTCTTGGTCGCCTCTCCCCTGGGAGGCCACAGCGACAGACCTGCTACATCGCGATGATCTTGGGGCTCTGGGCACAGACAACTCTACCCCGTTAAACTGGACAGTCTACATGGGGGGTTCCATTAATCTAGACGCAAGCGGCCCCATGATAGACCATGTATTGTATCCACTTTGGGGGGCCCAAATGCTTAGCAATCTAAGCATGAGTGAGTCTGGGTGTGATTATGACGGTCTCTGAGTGCGGATAATTTTGGCTACGAGTCTGAGTTTTAGCGAATTGGAGTATGTGTAAGCCAGGAGTCTGCATGTTTTGGGTGTGAGTGAGGCTGAGCAGGAGCGAGCGGAGTATGGGCGAATCTGAATCTAAATGAGTCTGATTGTGAGAGTCCGAGTCTGAGTCATCTGAGTCTTGGTGTGTCTGGCTGTGAGTGCGCGCGGGTGAGGTTGAGCGTGATCAGATCGAAACATGACTGAACCTAAGAGGGAGGAGGGAAGAAGGTGAAGGTGGAGATACGGCAGAACAGCACCACTAAGATCAAACATCCACGTTGCAGGTTCAGGGGAAACGCGTTTCCCCCGATTGAACACGACGCCACAACAAAAACTGGCACCGAAGTATACCTCCAGCCAAAGCTGCTCCATTCCACCCCCACCCCGCTTCTCTCGGCCGATACATGCGTCTTGCCGACGCAACTTAGTTATAAGTCGCAGGGCGGCCTCTGCATGGTGGTGCGATTAGTGGGCAAGGCATGGGAAGCAACGCAATATCACTTCCCTCGCTCTCGACTAGCCCAAAGCCTTCGGCAACGTTGACCCCGCGGCACTGCTGCGAGTTCTGCGCCGCTTGGGGTGACAGACCAAAATCTATACCTGGCGCCGCTTCGGTTGTGCGAAACACCAGACAGATTTCTACCTTGCGAGAAGGACAGACAAGAACATTTGAAGGATGCTCTCTCTGCCCGCTCTTGCTTGCCATGATTATGTCGGCCCGCTTGACGGGTGCGACGCATGCGATAGGCACGGTTGCGGACGAGGTCAACGGCCTCGAGTGCGCCGACGACAGTCAGCCCAGCTGAATTTCTACCTGGGCTGCGAGGCGCGATCAGGGCACTGCGCCCGCGCTCGCGAGGATCGTCCATCTCTGGGAGATCCGCCGGCGCAGTCAGCCCACCTCCCGCGCCCACCCCCAATAATCCTAAGCAAAAGATCCGGTGCACTCGGGCATGGGATCGCGGGAACGCAGGGTCGTCCTCGCTTCATGATGCCAAACATCATACGGCGGACCTGGGGTACCCCAAGGTGTTTTCAAAGTCCTGCGCCATTGCGGAGAGGTCCCGCAAATGCCCGAGACCCGCACCGCGTCGCCGCGACGCTTTCGGAGCGCCGATGAGGGACCACCCTCGACTCTCTCGGCATCATCGCCGATGTTTCCCATCACCCATGTTGTTCCATTGCCCTGAGCTACCAGGGCACAACAGCTTCACCTCTGCGTTGGGCGCCCTCGCAGAGGCTGGAGTCCGCGACGATTTCGCTGCGTTCCTGGAGGGGCTCGGCAAAATCATCCGGCGCTCTGCGCTGACAAAGACGCGCGCGATCGCCATTCTCATTGCCGCGTCCGCATTCATTCCGGCTCCGACGACGCAGGCGCCACTGAGGTTGAGCCTCGCCCAAAAACAAGGGCGTGCTGGAGCCCTCCAAACGCGGGTTTGAGCCAATGGCTACGAAATCCAGCTCTCCGATGCTTTCGGATTCCGGGCGGAAGGCCAAACAAATCAAAAGCAGAAACCGCCCCCTGTCTGAGGATGCCCAGCAAGGCAACAACGAGGGTAGGGTACCGCACAAAGGCGTACATAAACACATCAACCAATCAACCCAAACGCGGAACACCTACTATAAGCGACGCCCATGGAGAAGACACCTTGCTCTGCACTACAGCATCCGTGCACAGGCGGGGGCGCGCAATCGAGGAGTTGACCTTTCATGCGTTTGAGCACGCGCTGAGTGAGTAGAGAAAGTAGACGACTCTGCTTCGCAGAGGTAAGCACACATAAAACATAGCTTTCGGAGGTCTGCGCGGATTTCTTGAATCGGCGCTGGGCCCTCCTCCCAACACCCCAGGCAGTGTTCGCGGCGGCGCCCCACAGCGCGCCCCGCGCGCCAGGAACAGGGTATGGGGAGGGGCCCCTGGCGCCGACTCCGGAAATCCGCACGGACCTCCGAAAGATTATGCGTGCGCTGTCTTTTGGTACCCTTCCTACTCAGACACGATGAAATTCGAATTGTTCAATGGAGCGCAATTCGAGAGCAAGGGAGGAGATCAGGCTGCAGCCCGTGAGTCTGTTTCTGGCGACTCCCTGACTGGCGACACCGGCTGCAGCGCACCCTGGGCACACCACGCAGCTGGAAGACATCCAACGACCTGGGGCTCCCGCCGCTCATGCGCGCTCAACCGACCGACCCAGACGTCCGCCGCCGTGCGTCTTCTGCGGCGTGGCCCCCCTGGGCCTCCCAGGGCCCCGTGCCTCCGACGCCGTGGTCTTTTCAGCACGGACGCGCGCTCTCGACCTCAGCCTTCTGATCTTGGCCCTGGGCCCCCGGACGAGACCTGCAGGCAAAGGCTGCCTTCCTCGTGGCGCCGGACTTCTGGGGGGGGTCCCCTTCGTCGCGCTGCCAGTGGCCGCCCGGCCGCTCGGCGTCGCAGGCGGCGTGCTCAAAAAAAACTCGAGGCGTCGAAGCGTCGGCCCGACGAGCTGAGGGGCAACGGTTCTGGGGAGGACGAGCTCAGGCAGGGGGGGTGGGGAGGAATATGGAGCTGGAATCGGCGAGACATCGCCTGGAATCGGCGATACCTCGCCGATGGATCGGCGATAGGCCTCCGATTGCGAAGCCGCACCTTCCTGGGCGGGCTGCGCCATCAGTGGGCGACTGGGGGGTCGATGCACCCCCCCCCCTCTGAGCCTGTCCCCCCCCCCCTACCGGCTGCACGCAAGAGCGGCCCTGGGCAAGAGTGGCCCTTGGTGCGCGGACTAAGTCGAAGAAGGAAAAGGTACCCATACCTCTGCCCCCCCCGCCCACTTCCCCCTTTTAGGGCCTCTTGGGAGGCCCTCGTCGACACCGGTGGATTCGCTTCGAAATCCTGGTCAGAACGCACCCCGGGAGAGGCCCAGGGGGGTAGGGGCATCGGCACCTCTTGGTTCCCCTACTACGGGGGCGCAGGGTGGCCTCATCCAAGCGCGCAAGCAGCCGCTGGCGCACCGCGTGCAAGGATCGGGGGGGCCCCGATGAGCCCGCACCAGAGGTCACTCTGGCGTTCGGCCGGGCCTGTCCCCCTACAGGCGGATTCTGGACGAGAAACAAACATGTCCTCAAACATACGCCGAACAGGCTCAAATATGGTGAAAAGTTGTCCCCACACTATTTTTTGAGACTATTTTCGAATCTTCCCCCTGTAGAGGGACAGGCCGGCTCCGCTCTGGCGAAGGGCCGCCCTTGCGCGTCGTCGACCCCGACGCTGCCCCCGACGCTCGCCTGCGCCTGTGGCCCGGGCCCGGCCCGCGGGCGCCGCCCCGCGGGCGACGTCGCCGCGGAGGGCCGCGCGGCCGCCCCGCTGCTCTGGCGGCGCGCAGAGGGGACCGTGGGCCACGTCGCCTGCGGCGCCGTCGTCGTTCTGGGTGTACGTCGGGCCTGTCCCCCTGCAGGCCGATTTTAAGGGAAACAGTGAAAGTAGTCAACAAAATAATGTCAAATACTCGAAAATGGTAAAACAAAAGTCGTCCCAGACTATTTTTTGATTACTTGTGATTATGCCTCCTGTAGAGGGACAGGCCCGACTTAATCGTTCTGGGTGCGGAAAAAAAAGAAGCAGACTCATCTGTTGGTTCCCGGACGACCTGCCAATGCACCCCAGCCACACCCGAAGGCACCCGTGGGCTCGGCGATGCATCGCCGACGTCGCCGACACATCGCCGATGCATCGCCGGCACATCGGCGAGGCATCGGCGATGCGGCGCGGTCCTCCGACCCCGACTGCTCCGACGCCACGGAGAGGCCTGGATCCTGGGGCCCGTCCTGCTGCCGGCGGCCGCGGGGGCGCCCCGCAGGCCCCAAGAAAGCCGAGGGACGTCCCCCAAGAGCCGTCCCCGTCGATCCCCGAGCCTCCCCCCGTGACCCTGGCCCGCTGGAGGCCGAGGGGCGTCTCCCAAGGACGGTCCTTCGATCTCGGGACCTCGATCTCCGGACCTCTCCCTCGACACTCGACCCCTCCCTCCCCACGTTGCGCGCACTGGCCGGCAAGTCAGAGTGACGGGGGCCGAACGGTCGTGCACTGTGCCTGAGTGCATCACTGAAGTGGGCTCCCGAGGTGCGGATTGCTGTTGTTGTTGTTGTTGCTGTTGTTGTTGGTGTTGTTGATGATGGTGTTGTTGTTGTAATTGTTGTTGTTGCTGTTACTGTTGCTGTTGTTGATAAGCTCTCAATATTGACGGATATGTGTTGTTGATCCCCCCTCCGGTGAACATTGTATCCTTTTCAATTGCAATACTTCCCCTGGGCTCGCACCCTGTTTTGCATCAGGGAAAGTCACGGTGCTCAAACTGTGTTGTTGGCCCCCGGTTTACAACAACAGCGGCTCCCGCCTTATATTTCCTCACAATGTATTCCCAAATCGCGCTCTCGCGCGGGACTTCCTCACAATTTGTATGCGAATCGCGTTCTCGCGTTGGACTTCCTCACAATTTATTCAAACGGTGCGCCCTCGGCGCTCAGGAATCACGCTCTCGCTGTGGCTTTTCTCACGGTGTACTTGGGAATCGCGCTATCGCTCGAGACTTCCTCGCGATTCATGCAGGACCCACGCTTCAGCAACCCGCCAGCTCGATCTGGTCGCCTTGGCCCGCCTTCCCGACCTGCCCGCTGTGGGTCTGCCAACCCGATCTGCCCGTCTGGTTCTGCCGCTTGTTTTCTGCTCCTTGCCCCCCTTCTGCTACTTTCTCTCGTGCTCCCTTCTTCTCCATCCCCCTTCCACCCGTCTTCTCTTCCCTTGTTTTAGGGGCCGCACTACATGCACGTGGCAGGGAAGGAAGATATACCCCCAGGGGGATACGATCGAAGACGACGAGGGCGGGTAATTACCGAGGATTTGGGATGTACGTATTGATTGTCACGTGAGCAGATAGGAGCGAACAATCTTGAAATGATTGTTGTTGCTGCTGCTGCTGTTTTTGTTGTTGTTGTTGTTGTTGTTGTTGGTGATGCTTTTTGTTTGTTGTCGTCGTCCCGCCCGCGACGGGGCCCGCGACGCACCCGCGAACGCCCCCTCACTCTGATCCGCAACTGCGGGGTGCTACATATTTTCGAGCTACGTCCATCCGTGGGCAGCTCGCAGATGCGGAAAAGGCCGAAAAGAAGGCGCAGCGCCAGCTCAAGAAAAATGGCAACCATATTCTTATTCGTCGTTTCGACATTGGGCGGAAGGGGGGGGGAGGGGGAGTCTGGCTCTGGACCTCTGATTGATGCGACTGCTTGCAACAGTGCGTCCGATGGGCGAGACTCCACCGGCTTGAGACAGGCGCCAAAAACAACCAAGATCTACTCCATGGGGGGGGAGGGGGTGGTGCGAGGGCTCGCGCCGATCGGCAAAACAATGAATGAGAAAACGATCGCATACGCGGACCTGAGAAGACTGTTCGTTTATGCTGCTGCTGTGCTCTTCGATAGAGCGCCCAGCCCCCCCCCCGCCCAGGCTGCTTCTGCGCGCCGCCGACCGACTGCTCAGAGCCCCACCACGTTCATCCACGCCTGGAAGCTGCCCTTGGACTTCTCGTACGACTCGGTCGCCCAGCCCCAGTTCCTCTCCCTGCCCGCCACGCCGAGGTCGGCCAGATCCTGGAAGAAGAGGTCGGCCTCCTTCATACCTGCCGCGTCGTTCTTGCGGTAGAACGGCGTGCCCTTGGTGGTCACGTACTCCATGTTTTCGCGAAGACTGTAGAGCTTGGTGGTCAGCAGGCTCTTCAGATTCTCGGACTGCTTCTTCTGAATCAGCTCTGGGACTTTGTCGAGCATCGACACGTACTCGATCACCCTGGCCTTGTTCCTCGCGTAAATCTTATCCTGCAGCGCCTTGTCGTTCGTGTACTCCGAGTCCTTGGGATTGCTGAACTGCGAATAAGGCGAGACCGCATCAGGGTCGATCTGCTGGTAGGCGTCCGACACCGCGCCCTTCCCGCTGCCGTCGAACCCGAACACGGAGAACCTCGCCTGGGAGGGCGTCAGCCGTCAGCACACAGGCACGCCGACCCTGGCCGGCCCGATCCTGGGCGGGGGGATCGCTGCCGACGTCCACCTGGCCCGGCTTGGAAGTCCCACTTGCACCGATCTCCTGGGCCCAGGGCTGGCACGGCTCGGAGACAGCGTGGTGGCGTAGGGTCCCACACATCCTTTCGACATGACTTTCCCAGCCCGCGGCCCTTTCCTCCTCCTCCTCCTCCTCCTGCTCCCCCTCCTCCTCCTCCTCCTCCTCCTCCTCCTCCTGCTGCTCCTCTTCCTCCTCCTCGTCCACTCCCTCCTCCTCCTGCTCCTCCTCCTCCTCCTCCTGCTCCTCCTGCTCCTCCTCCTCCACCTCCTCCACCTCCTCCCCCTCCGCCTCCCCCTCCTCCTCGGCCGGTGGTCCCGACACTTTCCCTGAGCGTGCAGCCAACCCGTATCAGAAGGACGCACGATAAGGATGCACGGGCCCTGGAAGGCCATGTCGACACTCTGACAGCGGGGCGCGGCCAGCGAACGCGGCCAAGGATGGGCCGAAGTGAACGATGCAAGGGCAACCTTGGAACATTACATTACTCATCTTTACTTTGCGGGTTGACGGTAGCGTTCCATCCCGGATCCATTTCTGATGCCCTCGGGGCCCGATGACGGACGGGCCCCTGGAGGCCCAAATCCACGGACGAAAAACATGCAACATCGTGAAAAACACGGTTGGAACCCTAGACATCATTTCTCTGATGCAGTTTTGGCGTTGGGTCGATCTTTGCTGGCCCCAAGCCCCGAAACTCATCGTGCACGCCCAGCACGAAACAAAAATTGCAACTCCTGCGTCGCTGGGTCGTCCGAGCTCGGGGGTTGATCTCCCCAGCCACTGTGCTGATGCTGAGCTACACTGCCCATGCCTCGCTGTCCCGGGGTTTAGCTGCGTTCTTGCTCGTTTACGGCAGGTTTGCGCCGTGCCGTTTTCGGCGTTGGTTTCTGATACCTCATGGATCGTTCAACCTAGAACGATCGGCTGCTTCCGAAAGGTCAGGTCGTTCAACATAGACCGATTGTGGGTCGCTGGCGGCGTTCAACGTTGAACGCCCTCGGCGGGGTCGCCGCCATTCGACACGACACGAACCTACCGTACACATCTGACGCGTGTGCGGAGCTACACTGCCCGTGCCGCGTTTCCCTGTGGCTTCGTTGCGCTCCTGCTCTGAGCGCACACCGCCCCATGGGGGAAACGGGTCCTGAGGGCAACGGGTCCTGGAAGCGGGGCATTCACACTGTTACTTTGAAGAAGCTGTTTGCTAAAGGAAAGAAGCCGTTTAGTAAAGTGCTTTCGCTCTGTTGCGCGACAGCCGCGGCGCGTCCGAATTGCCGAGCCGCGTCATGCGCTCGCGCCCTGAATCTTCTGTCAAGGGGCATCTACAACTCGCTGAGAACATGCCCAAAGGTCGCCGCGACCTGATGCAACAAGACCCTTACTACTCGAGCGAATGCATCGCGGGGTGAACTGGCAGGAAGGACAAGGGCCTCCCGTCCCCCGACCGGGCCCTGATCCCGCATCACCACCGCACCCCCAGGGCTCTATTAAGGCAGACCGCGGACATTACTAAAGCGAGGGACCGGCTTTTTACTAAAGCGAAGAAGCGGCTTTACTAAAGCGTGGAAGCGGCTTTACTAAAGCGAGGAAGCGGCTTTGGTAAAGGCGCGCCGCTAGATACATTCCGAAGCAACGACGTCTTACTGAAACGAAGCGAAAGATCTAGTAAAGCGGAGGAACGGCTGGGGTAAAGCTGCGCGCAGAAATTTCGCTCATCCCATAAAATCTAGTCTGGGACTCCAGGAGCGAGGGCGGGGCGCAAGTTCGCCCGTGGGCCGGGCCCCGTCGCCGCCGTCGCCGCGATGTTCGTCGTCGCCGCCGTCGCCGTTGCCGCCGTCGTCGTCGCCGTCGGCGCAGCGCCGCCGTCGTCGTCGCCGTCGCCGTCGTCGTCGCCGCGACGCCCGCGCATTCACGTTATTACCAGCGGCGGGTCGCGCGCGACCGCGCGCGCCACTGCGCTCGCATCTCCGCTCGTCCGACGGGGGCCCAGGCGGACATCATGATGTTTTTGTGCTCACAACTCTTAAAATAATTGTGGGGGAAAAAACGCCTCTGATCCTGACGCTCAGACGGCGACAAACCTCCAGGCCCGTTCACCTCTGGACACGCTCCCCCCATGGCGCACCCCGCTCGGGGCGGCGGAGAGCTGGAGAAACCCGTGCCCCTCCGCCTCCTCCTCATCCTCCTCCTCGTCCTCCTCCTCGCTCCCCTCCTCCTCTTCCTCCTCCTCCTCCCCTTCCTCCTCCTCCCCTCCCCTCCTCCTCCTCCTCCTCCTCCTCCTCCTCCTCCTGCTCCTCCTCTCCTCCTCCTCCTCCCTCCTCCTCCTCCTCCTCCTCCCCTTCCTCCTCCTCCTTCCTCTCCTCCCCCTCTCTCCTCCTCCTCCTCCTCCTCCTCCTCCTCCTCTCTGCTCCTCCTCCCTCCTCCTCCTCCTCCTCCTCCTCCTCCTCCTCCTCCTCCTCCTCCTCCTCCTCCCCCTCCTCCACAGATGGCCCTCGAGCTCTGGGCTTGCCCTCCCTCCCCGCGCCTGGGCGGCCTCGGCGGGCTGCTGCCGCCCCGCGGCGGCGGCGGCCGCGGCCGCCGCCGCGAGCACGGCCCGCCGGTCCACCGCCGGCACGAAGCAGCCGCTCCTCGCAGGCGACTTCTCTCCCCCCGCCATGATCGGGCCAGGCGAAAGGGGGGGATAGCAAAGGGGGGGCTTGAGAATCAGCTCACGTGGCTGATTTTCGTTTGAGAATCAGCTCACGTGGCTGATTTTCCCGACGCCTCCCGGCGCCGGGAGGCGCCCACATATCGAGGAATGGGCCCCTCGGTGGGGCCGCAACCAGCTGCATGCAGCAAATTTCGTACCCCCTCCTTTCCCAATCCCCCCCCTTTCGTCCGGCCCGACTTGAGTCGGGCACGGCCCTCTACAGGAGGAATAGCCAAGAATAGTCCAAACAACATCGGGGGACGATTCTTCGACTCTGTCTGATGACTTGTTTTATGTTTTTTTGGGGGTGAGACAACTTTTCATGTTTCTTCCGAAGCCCGCCTGTAGGAGGACATGCCCGACCTAACCAAGCCCCTGGGGCTCCGCCCGAAAAGTTCGTCGGCAGCGAACCCTGGGGGGGAAGTGAGACGGAGAAGGCCTTCTCAGAAGGCTCGGAGGTCGGCGACGTTTCTCCCCTCGCCCCCGGGCTCCGCCCGACGAGCTTGTCGGCTGCAAGCCCAGGGGGGGGGGAAGAGAGAAGGAGAAGGTCTCCTCAGAGGGCTCGGGAGTCCCCCCCGGCCTTCTGAAAAAAGTGTTCTCTGAGCCTTCCTTACCCGAAGACGCAGGAAGCCTCTCTCTGAAGGCACGAGGGCTTCTGATAAGTCCCGCCGCCATCTGAGAAGGTCTTCTCCTCCTCGCTTCCCCCACTCGCTCGCCGCCGACCAACCCCCGGGTTCCGTCCGAAAAGCTTGGCCGCTCAGCAAAAAGAGGGAAACCCAGGGATGCGGGCGCTATTCGGACGCACCCCGTACCGAGGATGGACCCCCCCCTGTCGTATATCTCCCAGGGCTGTGTCCCCCAAACTTCTAGTTCATTCGAAAACCCCACGAAGCCTGGGACAGTGGTCGACACATCCCCGGGATGGACGCCCCCCCTGTTGTATATGTCCCAGGGCTGGGCCCCCAAAACTTCTGGTCCACTCGAAACCCCACGAAGCCTGGGGTAGAGGTGGGTAGATGTCGACATATCTAGAAGAAGAAAAAACGGCATGAACATAACTTTTGGCGCTCCGCGCGGATTTCTTGGATCTACGCCTGACTCCCCTCCCTGGCGCGCGGAGCGCGCCAGGGGCGGCGCCAGAGGCGCCGCCAGGGGTGCCCCAGCGCGGATCCGAGAAGTTCACGCGGAGCGCCAAAAGTTTATGTCTATGCCGTTTTCGTTTCTTCTTCGAAGGGTACAGTGGAGGCCAGCCCACAAGAAACCTTCCACAAGAAACCCAACCCTGAGACCCCAGGACGTCCATTCATGTTTGGTGTGGGAGCGTCACGTTCCACAGCAAAGCCAGCGACACCCAAGAAACCCAGGGCACCCTGAAGGCAAGCAGAGCGTTTCTCGGCATGGGCCTCGACTGCCGGGGTCGACACATCATCCCCCGCGAGCTCCAGCAGGCGCCCGCGAGGAGCCCAGCGAGGAGCGCGACGGGGAGGGGCCTGGCGCCAGCGCGCGCCATGGTCGGTGACCCGCAGAGGCGCCCCCCTCGAGGGCAGGGCCTCCCCCCCGCCCCCGCCGGACGTCGGAGCCGCCGCACAGGGCCAGACCAGCGCGCTCCACGACTCGCAGAGGAGCTGCCCTATATATATATATATATATATATATATATATACACACACATATAGAGAGAGAGAAAGAAACAAAAAAGAGAGAGAGAGAGAGATCCGACGCCCAAGCAGAAATTGGCGCAGGCGGTCTGGGGCCGTTTTCACCCTCCGGGGGGGCCCTCGTCGGGGCTGGGGAGGGTCGAAACACGGCCCGGGACGAAAAGCCGGCCCCAGGGAAGTGGCCCGGACCTCCAAGGCCCACGCGCCGAAAAAAATGGAGCGGCTGGATGTCTGGGACTCGCAAAGGCCTGGATCCACCACGAGAAATGTACGATCCATTACATATGGCGGCTTCCAGAAGAACCCTGAGCCCAAAAACGTTTTCAGCTCTCGGGGGCGCATCTTATACTTCCGCCGCCTTCCGCCAGCTTCCGCCTGCGGAGGCGGCCTCGTTTTGCTTCCGCCAAGCTTCCGCCGCCTTCCGCCAAGGAAGAAATGCCAACTCAGTCTAACCTCGAAGGCAAGGCCCTTTTGGAACGCCTCATATAGGAAAACATGTTTTAGACTTTGTTTCGGACGTTTGCGAGTAGGCAATCCCACCAGCCCTTCAGGGCTACAGTGGTATAGCGAGTTTGTTCTTCTCTCTTCCCCCTCCTTCCCCTGTTCGGGGGAGGGGTTTACCCCTCCCCCTACCCCCTTCTCCTGGACCTGGAGGGGGGGGGGGACGGAGGCGCCGCAGCGTCCAAAATGGCCCTGGATGGCCCCAAGAGGCGCTCCAAGTCGCAAGATGGGCTCCAAGATGGCCCAAGGTACTCCAAGATGGGTCAAGATAGCCTCCGACATACCTCCAAGAGGCCCCAAGACAACCCCAAGACGGATCCAAGTGCCCTTCGAGCCCTCCACGGCGCCCTCCAACACGCCAAAACCCTTCGACAGCCTAAGGAAAATCAATGTTTTGGCATTCTCGCCTTTTCGCGTCCGATGGGCCTCTGGGACCTCAAGATGGCCCCAAGATGGCCCAAAAGAGCCCCAAGAGGGGAACAAAAAGGCCCAAGACGGCCCCAAGATCGCCCAAGAGGCGCCCAAGAGCGCCCCAAGAGAGCCCAAAGACGCCATTTTTGAGCCTCCGAGTGGGCGGTACTAATTGAGGGACCTCCTCTTTTTGAGCCATGGGGCCCAAAATGGCCCCAAGAGGCCCCCCAGCCTTTCCCAAAGACCCTCCACCCCGCCCTTTTTGGCCCAAGACGGCTCCAAGAGAGCCCCAGATAGCCCAAGATAGCCTTCAAAATGGTTTAAGATAGCCAAGCATGGCTCAAGATAGCCTCCGACAGCCCTCCAAGAGGCCTCAAGGCAGCCTCAAGATGGCCCAAGATAGCCGAGCATGGCTCAAGATAGCCTCCGACAGCCTCTAGCCGAGCATGGCTCAAGATAGCCTCCAAGAGGCCTCAAGAAAACTGGCAATCAATTGTGGATGGGCTGGTGGGATATTTTTTTGGTCGGCGGCCGCGCGACCACGGTCTGGCGGCAACAGCGATGTCCGGGACTACGGATCAAGGCAAATTACACGCAGTGCGTGAGGTGCACATGCACTGAGCAAAATGCTCCGCATCCAAAGGCAAACGCACATAGGCGCCGGCAACACCGAAGTGAACAAGCGGCCATCAGTGCGAGTGCAACGGAGGAAGTCGCCCGGGCGGCGCCAAGCTCCGAGCAGCTCCCCAAGCCGACGGCAGGCAGTGAAAAACAGGAGCGAAAACGTTGAGGGCTGAACCACTCAACGCGAAGTCCGGACACCACAGCCGCACGTGGTGTCGGCGGGGAAACAGAGGCAGAGGAACGGCAGGTAACTACAGAGCACTCACTCCACGAACCACGCCGCTGCTCTGGGGGGGCCTGCGTGACGGTCATTGTAACCGGAACCAGTGACTGGCCTGGGCTGCAACGATGAGAGGGGGCGCACACTGGCCCAGGAGCCGGTACACTGCAACCTCGCAGGTAACGGCCACGAATGTCGCCGAGATCCACAGCTGCCGCGACCAGCTCGTGGAGCGCGCGAGCGCAGCCGGCTGAATCTGACCACGTAGTGGAGGGGGGGCGCAGCCAACAGCCGCAATGTACACATGTCTGGTAGCAGCTCGCACAGAGCATACTACAGAGCACTCACTCCACGAACCACACCGCTGCTCTGGGGGGGGGCCGGTGCGTCGGTCATCGTGTCCGAAACCAGTGACTGGCCGGGGCAGCAACGATGAAGGAGGACGCGCTGGCCCAAGAGCCGATACACTGCAACCTCGCAGGTAACGGTCACGAATGTCGCCGAGATCCGCAGCTGCCGCGACCAGCTCATGGAGCGCCGGAACGCAGCCGGGGCTGAATCTGACCAGCAGCCAGCAGCCACAATGTACACATGTCTTGGTGGCAGCTCGCACAAAGCAGAGGAGGAGCGGGGTTGCGTGGGCTGCGCACAGACCGCCACCCTGCTGAGTGGTGCGCAGGGGGGGACTATTCCAGTCGACTGCCCCCGGACGTCCAAAGCGGCTGTCGAGAGAGACAGCAAAGGGGGAAGCGCGGGGATGCGTCTGCGGCCGCCCCCTGTCCCCAAGAAAACAAACTGCCGCCGTGGAAGGCAGCAGGTGGCCTCGGGCCGGCGAGGCCAGCGGGCTCACCCCCATCTGCCGATGGGGGGGGTGAGATGGCCAGGCATGGTCATGGGTGAGATGTGGGGACACCCCCGCCCCAGCGGGAGTTGCCCCGGGCATTGCGGCCACGGCCGGGCGCTGTAAGGTGAAACCGCCCCCGGCGGGGAGAGAGCGGCGAGCGTCTGAGGGGGGGGCGTCGCCGTCGTCGAGCTGGGGGGGGGCAGGGGGCACGCCGACGGGCGGGCCCGCCCCTGCTGGTCCTTGGCGCACTAATAAGTTAATCTCTGTCCCACCAGCGTGCGCGCTTGTCGGTGTCTCGGTCGTCTCCCCTGGGGGAGTAGCGTTTGCCTTTCGCTGTCCAGTCCGTCTCCGCCCACGGTGTTCCCTGGAGGGTCCTGGAAACCCATTCCTGCCATCCCTGCCACGGGTTGGGGTTAGCGGAGCCAACTGCGCCCGTCCATTGCTCCTGCGAGGCCGCCGCCGTCGCTGTTTTGCCCTCTTTAGTCCATGGGGCGGGGCCGTTGCTGCTGTCGGGCCCGCGCTGCGTGCGGGGTCTGGGCTCGCGTTGCAGGAGCTTCGTGTGCTTGTCCTTGACCGTTGGCCAATGGACGTTGAGCTCTAGGTCTCTATCCATCTTGTATGCGTCGTATCCTGCGCTGCCCCGCGCCTGCAGGAATTCGCTGCGCGACTGCACTGTGTTCCGCTTGGGGTCGTGCTTTTCAGTCCCGATGGTTCCCTGTCTCACGGCAGCCCTCTTCACCCATGCGACACAGACTCCATGAAACGCTCCTCCCAGCGTCCTTTGCAGGCGCATTATCTTCCCCTGTACAGGTTCGTCCTGCGTAACGTCAGCGTCCGCGACCGGGCACATGTACATGGGGATGCCCCCCATGGGGTCGCTCGGATCGCCTCGGGGTGGCTGCGGTTCCCGCGCGTCTCTCCAAGGCGCCTGGAGTATGTGTGGCCGGGCTGGGTCGCCTCTTGGGGACTTGGCGGCGCGGCGATCCCCGTCCTCGGTGTCCTCCCGCACGGGTCGCTGGCGGCCCCTGTCGCCGCTCGCGCGCCTGAGGGGCCGGTCGTCCATGGCGTCGCTGATGATCCAAATTGCGTTGTCTCCTCTTTGTGGGTCATCCGGCGTGCTCCTGACTACCCGGACGGCGCTCCTGGAAGCGGCCCGCTCGTATGGGGACCAGGCCTCTGAGGTGACCCTGTCGGGCGGTGCCGACCAGAGCCTGAGGGGGTCGAGGATTTCCTGTTCTACGTCGCCGGCCGCCGGGGTTGGGCTGGACTCCGAGCTTGATTCCTCGAGGGTGTCGGACTCACTTTTCTTGTCCGCATCGCCTCCCCAGTCGATCCCGTCTGGCTCGCCTTCGTTTTTGCACGCCTGCCCAGTAGGGCCCCCCCCCCTCTGCCTGTGAGGCGCGCCCCCCGTCTGCGCCAGTGGCGCGGGGGTGCGCTCTGGTAGCGCGGGAGGAGGCGTCCTCCTGCAAGTTTCCACGGTTGTCTACTGGGGGGGGGCCTCGGCTCCGACAGCCCTGTTGAGCCAGGTGGCCGCCGGTGATGCAGCCCCAGCTGGGGCGCCTGTGGCTGCTTCGCGCGGGTCGCGGGTGGAAAGGGCGGCGATGGCCCTCCAGGCCAGGGCAGCGGAGTCAATCCCCGTGAGGAACGCCAGCAGAGTGCCGATTCGCTGTCGGAAGGGGCACTGACCTATCTGCTCTGTCAGGACAGCAGCGTAGCGGTCCCATTCCCCCCCCCGTATTTCTCGCTGGAACTCGCTAGGTGGGATGCCACTCTGGCCGCCACAGCCCGCTGCCCGTCCCATGGGATGCTTGGGGGATGGCAGCTGGCTGGGATCGAGTCCCCGTAGATCATTCCCAGGAAGGGGAGCAGGCGTGCAGTTGGCCACGACATCTCGTCGGTTCTGTCTCCTGGGATGCCCTCGCCGTGCTGCTGTACGGAGCCGGCCCAGTAAAGGTAGACAGAGTGGTTCCACTCCAGTAGGTACTTCACCTGTGCGTGGACGGGGCCGTCGGACTCCACCCCAGCGAGCCTGTAGGTGGATAGGGTTGGCAGGGCGGGACACGCTGGCGGGTCCAAGTTGGGAAACGCGGAGTTGCTGTCGCGACCGACCCAGATTGATTCGCCGCCTTGCCCTGCGACGCTGCTGAGCTCCATGTCGTTGGGGGTGGACTCGTCCGCTGGGGCCGATGGCCCTGAATAGGCGTCCTTCGCCGCTGCGTCGACGCCCGTTGGGGAGAGGTGGACGCTGATGTCGTAGCTCTCCTCTTGCACTTCTGCTGTTGCTGCGCGCTT